GCTGAAAACTTGTTTACGGAGGTTATTCGACATCTTGATTACAAATATACACCCATTTTAGGCGCTGGCGCTGATGTTCGACGCCGCTCTGCTGGAGGTTGGCCAGACCTGAAGGAAATCACTCTTTCTCCAGGCTCAGCCCTAGAAAAGCGCTAAATGTCGTTGGCATCGAAAAATAAATGTCGTATTCGTGATCAGGGCATCAAACAGACCCATTACGCAGGTTTAACAATTTTGATAAAAAAGGGTGTAGCGCCAAATCACTGATTAATGGCGCCAGATGACCTCGGGGCTGAAAACTAAGGTATTCGTGATCAAGACATCAAGTTATCCTACTATGCAAATTTACACCGAATTTGTGAGAAAGTGCGGTGAGCTTTTTTCCAAATTACCGCATTTGACTTTATGGTTACAGGGATGATTGGTGATCTGATTATGAGTGAAATAAGATTAGATTATAGCACAGGAAAAGAATCATGGAAACCTTAGTTTCTGGACAGAACGAAAACTGCCCTCCTTCCTCTCAAGTTGATGGGAATTTCAATTTGTTGGCGGAAAAAGACCCACTTTCTAACTTATGGTTCGAGTTCAACTTCCTACAGTGCATTATATACTGAATAGTTCACACTTTTGTAACACCCGCGCAAGGTATATGCCGGCAAATCGCCAACGACCGCTTGTTCGTCGCGTCGAATAGAGCGCGTCGAATAGTGGTGCGAGCCCGTGGCCGACTATGGCACTCAACCTCACGCCTAAACTCTTTTGTGAGCCACTTGGGCCCTACTGAACAATCGTTATTGTTTTACTGAGCGGCAGGTTCTTGGTTGGCTTGCACGCTCAGGTACCCTTTCTTCAGCTGCGTTAGCTGGAAGGTTATTGAAGGGAGTTGGAGGCGCTATTCCGGTCGGAGACCTCGTCGGGGCTGTTTAGCCTCCCGCGATCCTCTGACTCTAGTACTCACTGGTCCTTCTGCGTGAGGTACCCCAGCTTAACGTCCATTCTATCACGCGCGCACTTTGCCTCTTCTAAGCGGGCAGCGAGCATGAAACCGAGCTCGTCCGCATTGGCCGTAATGGGATGAAAGCTGGATTCTTCCTCTATTTGCTCCATTTCGAGCATAATGTCCTTCCTTTCTGTATTTATTTTTACACGTATTTGTATTCC